TTTCCTGTGTCTGGATAATAGACCTTGTATGCAGGGCTGTTTTTGTCATAACCTACAAACATTCCTTTTTCACATCGTGCATCTAATTTCTTTTTGTCCTGCTTATATGCGTAACATACTGATCTGATCTACAGTAACACACTTTATGTCAGCGAGGAACTTTTCAGTAGCTCAGTGTCACTCTTAGCTTTTAGAAAATACACAAACACTGAACCTGAGTAGTCATCGGTAAATGCCAGCACATACTTGAAACCGTCTTTAGCTACTGGGTCAATAGCACCAGCTAGATCTGTGTGCACTAGTTCAAGTGCAGCCTAAGGTCGTGTATCAGGTTCCCTGTTTCCACTCTGAACAAATTTACCTTGTGTGCAAACCTCAGTTTAGGTTAGATTTATCAATCTTTCCTTTTATTTTCATTCCATCAATTACATCCTTCAATTTGGAAACATCCTCATAAATGCAGTGGCCGGGGATCTCATGAAAGGTTTGAATGTCATCCGTTAAAACTAACATTGTCCTCGTTGACAGTGTTCAGATAGTACAGTCTGTTGTATTCTTGAATGTGAAATTTAGTACCGCTCTTGTGAATGAGTTCATCACGTCCTTGTTGGAAGTTGATCGTAGATTCATTCTGTAAGCCCGACTATATCGGCCCAATGGAGGAATGCGATCAGCGGCTGAAGGTCTATGAGTGTTACTGTCTTTCCTCGTGGCAAAGTAATTGGATTAAATGAAATAAATTTTTTCATATGTATTATTACCTTGCTATTTCATCTGACTCCATTAATGAAAAGGTTTTAATGATATCTGTGCAACATTAAATGTGAGAGAATGTTTGACTATTCTTTTGTACTCTTTACTGAAAATAATGTCAGAGACAGTTAGAATAAAATCAAATGTTTACAATTTATTATGTCAGGTAAATGTATCATGCCAATTTCATAATCAGTTCAAAGATAGATACAAAACATCAAATGCTCTGGAATAAAGAGAGAAGATGCAAACCTTGACATTATAAAATACATGAAGTGTTTTGCATGTACTTCACATCACCGGCTGGTCTGGGTTACAGAATCGCCCTGAGCCTCTTGTTGCATTTCATTATATAGACAGAAACTTCTTTCACATGGAAACATTTGCTAACAATGGTGTGGCGAGCAGGACGAGGCCGAGTGACGTGAGAGCGGCGCGAGGCCGGTGGCGTGAGTGGTAATGAGCGACACCTGTGAGACGCACCGGTCTCGCATCTCTCACGGAGGAGCGGAGGCATAAAGGAGGAGCGACGACGGTGAAGATGGAGAGAGGAACAGGCCTTATTTTATGTTGTGTTTTGTTTCTGTGGCCAGCAGTCGTCCGTGAGGGGCTGCTGGTTTTACTTTCATTTTGTATTTGTTTATTTATTAAAATTATTGAACGTTCGCCGGTTCCCGCCTCCTTCTTCCCATAACAACGAACCCCGTTACAAATGGGAATTTGCATTCAGAGTTTACACCTTTTGGGAGAAGAATGCCATTTGCCTGGAAGACACACCCTTCTGTGTGTACAAGTTATCCCTAAAACTCTTAATAACGTATTACCTTTTGGTTTACCTCTTTGGGAATGAGACATTTGTACCGGTTGCACCGGACATTTCAAATGACACCAAACATGTAATATACTGTATGATAATTGTTCACATTAAACCATATAGATTTTTGGGTGAAATTCAGGTGATCTCAGCATGAGAGAGAGAGGGAATGGGGGGTCGAGGGAAAAATATCTAGATTAGGATTGCTTAGGTGAGACTTGCGTCTCGAATGGTGATGCTAGTTTCACAAGAGAGAGTTCAAATGTTAATTTCCAGAAAGTGTCAAGTCCAGGATTCGAACCCAGAGTGTGTTACTGGAAACTAGGGGTGGAACGGTACACAGAAGTCACGGTTCGGTTCATACCTCGGTTCAGACATCACGGTTCGGTACGATTTCGGTACAATGGAGGGAAAAGCAAAATAAAAATGCAGAAGGCATTGTATTTTTTAAATAAGTTTTATTAATAAAGGCATAGAACCAGTTTATTTGTAGTGCACTGACAATAGTTTTATATAATTCGTTTATTAATTAAATTAATAAAAAGACAAAAAGACCTTGCGATATGCTTGGTAATTGATATAATAATTTGGTATAATGAATTATAAATAATTGATTTCTGTATAAAATAATATTACCATTAAAAACGCATTCGATTTTCTTTTTTAATCAATGTAGAATGTGTAAGATTAGTGCTCCGAGGACGAGAAATGAAAACCAATGCGATATGATGAATGTCTAAAAGATGGGACCCACAGACTGTTTTGAAATGGAGTTGGATAAATATGTTTTGCTTTTAAAACAGTGTGTGTGTGTGTGTGAGAGAGAGAGAGAGAGAGAGAGAGAGAGAGAGAGAGAGAGAGAGAGAGAGAGAGAGAGAGAGAGAGAGAGAGAGAGAGAGAGAGAGAGAGATTGGGTAACAGTTGTAGGTTACAGTTTGACAAGAGTTTACAGTGTGACAAAAGCACAATGTGGTGTTTTATTGCGAGTGTACACAAATATAAGTAAACACTTTGCAGGTTTAATGATCTGTATGAACAAAATGACGGAGTATGTTTTTTATGTTTCCACTGTTCAATCGCGGCCGCGCCTCTCTCTCTCACACACAAACACACACACTCCAGCATTGCAATCTTGACATCGCAGCCTTTTCATTATGCGGTCACACCAAACGCGAATAGAGCGTTAAATTCGCGTCTAGTTCGACGCTAGTCCAAAGCGAATAGGACGCGCGTATAAAGCCAACGTTTGAAGTGAACGCGCGTTCAGAGCTAAGCCGATGGTACAGATTATGTGTCCCTAAAGAACCCGCGTATCTAACAGTAGTTCCGCATTACATTAATTAATTTTCACGCGAGTTTTATTTATTTTTATACCGTGTATTCTCCGTGTAAATTCGTGCACCGAACCGTGACGCCCGTACCGTTTCGGTTCGGTACGAATACATGTACCGTTCCACCCCTACTGGAAACCCAAGGTTATAACCACTGTTCTATGGGGCAGTGTAGGCCCAATTGGCAGATAATCACAAGAGGCAGGTTTAGAAGGAAAAAACAAATAGTCTTTACTAGTATTCTTCCTGAGCAAACACAAAGGATCCAGCATAAGTAGTGATGGCAATTTCAAAAACACTGCTTCATGAAGCTTCGAAGCTTTTACAAATCTTTTGTTCTGAATCAATGGTTCGGAGCGTGTATCAAACTGCCAGAGTCACGTGATTTCAGTAAACGAGGCTTCATTACGTCATAACTATTTCGAAACACTTCAAAATTTCAATGGTTCACCGCTGATGATCTCGGTCAACCCATGATCATGTAGCCTGGATGCCAGCCCGAACCCCGCCCACAACATTTTTTGATCGGGAAGTTCGGTCTAGACTCGATCCATTGAGGAGTAATTATGATCGGTTCAGAAATCGTCGGGCCAATCAAATTGCCAGGGCGGGCTTTATACGATGATGGACAGATGATCTGCAGGGACGTAATCATCACGTTATCAAAGAGCGCTTGGGTTGAACTGGTTTCCCTCACAGATGACTGCAGCTGGAGAACTGAGATGTATAGATCCCGCTATCGCGTCCGTTGTAAAAGAAATCGACAGCGCATTCATTTTAAAAAAAGAACATAGAACTGCAATCAAGGCATTTGTCGATCGGAAAGATGTGTTTGCGTCCTTCCTATGGGATTCGGCAAAAGTTTAATTTATCAGCTGGCTCCGATGGTCACTAAGAAGATGGGACGCAATGAAAACCCTGTGGTCGTTGTAGTTTCTCCTTTGGTCGCACTCATAGAGGACCAAGTAAAAGAAGCAACACTCGTTATTTTACTTCTTCCAGCGTGCGTGCATTTGAGTTCTGTAGTTGACAACTGTGCTATGCAAAGTAGTTGACTTACTGCGTTGCTCTCATTGGTTGTAGGTCTATCCAATTGAGTGCAGAGTTTTTTTTTTCCTGGTTCGGTTAAGACACAGCTCATAATCAAAGCCCTATGAAGCAGTATCAGACTCACAGTCTGACTAGAATATGAGTATGACGAAGTCAGGCTAATGATCATGAGGAGTCACTGAGAACCAATGAACAAGTGTCTGTGGGTTTTACCTGATCTCTGATCAGTTTTATACATTTGTAGATGTTTTAATTAGACATTAATATAATTAAAATGAGGTAGTTAATAGTCTTATTGGCCTGTTTAGCTGAGCCATTCATATAACAAACTAAACAAACCCTGACAATTGATAACAATTACACATTTACACATGATAATCTTATTAGATGATTAGATCATTGCATTTGAAAGATTTTACTCTCAGTAAAAAAAATTGCAATAGATTTGTAAAAGGTGTTTTTATGCATGTTTGGCCTGAGTTTTTGTTGCATTTACACTGTTCTGACCACTAGGGGTCACCGTGGAGACGGGTGTCGGGGTGTTTCGAAGCCTCGGCACATTATGGCACATTTGATTCAACTGTTTCAGTTTCACGAAGCCTCGATCTGCCCATCACTAAGCATAAGTGCTAGGTTGAGCAAGGTACAAATCCACACTGGATGATGCAGGCCAAAGAGTCCAATAACATAAAACAACGCTTACCAGAGAAACTGTTCAAAAAGGTCTGAACAAAAGTCTTTTAGGGTAGACCAAACGGGAAAACACAAACGCATAGGCTAGGCAAGAGAACTTCAAGACTGAGCTAAAATGCAAGTCTTTAAATATACACCTGTTGACACTCTAACTAGCTAGGCAGAGGTGATTTCATTGACCCAATATTAGAGCAGTGAATTCGGAGGAAGATGAGGAAGGTCTTGTGCTCTCCGTCTCCCTCTGCTGGACAGACAGTGGTGTGACAGAAAGGTCTTTTGTCTTCTCAGGGAGTGGTCGTTCCTCAACTAGACTTCTCGGCATTTTCAAATTTCTCAAGTCTTAAAATTCTTTGTTGCAGCTTTAACAGAGAAGATGTCCTGCGGGTACGATGGGATGTACAATGCGCTCCTCAGCATCGCCTTCACCTGTTGTCCCTCGTTGTCAATCAAACACACCTCCGCATCTCCTCTTTTCAGCGCCACTCCGCTCGCTCAGCCAACTTAATGTAGTGTTTCTCCAGCTGGAATTTGTCATCAAACTTTTTGAATTTTTCAATGTCCGTAATAATGTGCGATGTCGCACCAGTGTCAACATTAGTCCCTTTCGTTGCACACTGTTGAATTGGCAGTCACTCGCTCTAAAGACAAATGTGTGTTCGTCGTTGTCCTCTTTATCAGCGGGTTGTTTAACATTGTCTCTCTTTTTGCGTCTGCAATTTTCATCTTTGTGCATCAAGCTATTACAGTAATTACACCACAGTCTTTTGTTTTTTTAGGTCGGGCAAACACAGGCTTTTTGCCGCTTTTGACCGCCGTTACAGCACGTAATGTCCGAGTCTGCTAATATTAAGTCGGGTGCACACTGTGCAATTTATAATAGTCCTTTACGATTGTTGCTTGTCAGACTGCACAAACATGATCATTGCTGTAAGTCATGTCACACTGTAAGATATCAGTTGTCATTAATGTCAGACTGTACGACATTAAACGGCGTTAAAAACAGACGCACAGAAAACTTGTCCAGAGTTTTACATCATCAATGACACGTTCGGTGACTGAGCTCCGTTACACGCGGGATTGAAGGTTGCTACAAAGAAATCTCTAACGTTAATTTTGGTCATGGCTTGTCTTCATAAACGAAGAAAATTTGACCGTCGTCGTAGGAGAGTCACACTTGCAGGACTGAGAGTCAAAGCTTCTGACACTGACAGAATTTCGTCGGAGATCAAAATTGATCGCAACGGTCATTAATGTTGGTGAACATGTCAAACTAACGATCAAAGACTTCAGATTTTAGCCAAGGATCAGAGGATTCTTTTAGGATTTGCAAAATTTGTCTCAGACGGCCAAATCGTGGCCAAAATCGCACAGTGTGCACCCGTCTTTAAGCTGGGTTCACACTACAAGCGACAACGCGACACGATACCATTCATTTCAATGGAGAGCGGGCGATTTCCGACAGTGACCGTTGGCGACTGGATGGGGCGTGTCCAGCAACGTAACAAAGTTGAGATCTGTTCAACTTTATGCAAATGAAGAGTGACTTTCGGGAGCGACAACCAATAGGAGTGAAGTCAGTGGAGCGCACGTGATCCGTCACTCTATAGTGAGGCTCTGATAACATTGTGTCCTTTAGGCCTATAGCAAACACAGGTGACAGAGAAATGTTGTCTCCCAAAGTTCATAGTTCTTTTAATCTTCGTCGAAATACAATCCACAGCATCGGTTACAGTACCTGCTTCTCTCCTGGACCCATAACCTGTTGGCGCAGCCATTTTCGTGAATGATAACAGGTTAATTTTAATAAACTATGTGGAGGAAAAACACACATACATCACTCGGTATTCTGTTGGAACCTCTTTTATTTGCATGTATACATTTATGGATATCAGGTCACATACACATGACATGAGCAGTATGAGGGCACACATTACAAACTTTAACAATATATATATATATATTGTTCTGTTCTTGTTTTCTGTTCCTGAGATCATTTTTAAAATAAAACCTAAACTGCTGCGTTTTGATCCTTTGCTCATCATTTATTTGAACCTCACATTTTGAATGAACTTTTAGTGATGCCAGAATAAAAGGCTAGAATTAAATAAACTTGAACAAAAAGCGTATGTGACCTAATGAAAGTAATAGGAATGTATTGTAATGAATGTGGGTTCTTTTAAAGCTAAAACTGCCTGTTTGTCTTTGTGTTGTTCATAAATGATGAACACAAATGTGATTCATTTTGTCCATTTCCTCTTTTTAGTTTCTCCTGATCCCTCCCTCCGTCTCTCTGTTCTTCCTTTCTCCTCTCTGTTGTCCTGTCTAAACACATCTTTGTATTTAACTATTATGTCGCTACATACACAAAATCGGATTGATTGACACTTTAAACTTTGTGTTTTGAGGTTTGTTTACTGAGAACTGAGATTTTGTTAGAGAGTCACGTGACTAAACCCTTCTGGAGAACACAAACATGTGGATTCATTTTCATCTTGGCAAATCTGTGCTGGGTTTCCGCTGAGCAAGTTCCTGCCTTCTTCTCTTCGTCGAATTGTATTGTAATGGAGAAGAGCAAATGTCGTAAGGGAAAAGCAGAAATGGCAGCTGTCAGAGACATGTATGAAGGACTGAATGTTGGAAGCATGACTGAAATGGAACAAAGGAGACACAGAAACCTCCAGCTGACCGAACATCCAGATGTTCTCTTCAGGGTTTATAGACGAGGCCTTCTACATGTTCTGCTCTTCAGACCCACTGATGGCCTCCGGTGGATGAGACTGTTCAGAGACGGACATCGAAACCTCTTCGCTCAGTGGAGTATCAGACATGTTAACCGGGAGATTCGGGATGTGATCAATGTCTCTGGAAGTCTGGAGGAGTTGCAAAGATTCTGTGACAGGTTTCCGGATCAGCTCGGGGAGTTTCATGACGATGTTGACGAAATTGAAGATCTGAGAGCAAGAATACAAGACCTTGAATTAGAAAACAAAAGACTTAGAAAAGACAACAATAAAGGGCTGCCAAAGATATGAGGTAAACAAAATAATAATAAAATACAAGCTTATTATTTTAAAACAGCTTAAAGTGTATGTTGTGTGTAGTTTTGTGAATAAGGGGAGATTGGAGTTTGTTGGCACTGCAGCAACAACAACAACAACAACTATATATCTTCAGGGAAAACAATCAAGGAAGACATAATCCTATATTTAAAACCTTCCACACATGCTAGCATGACTAAACTTAGTGTATTTACTGGTTGCCATATCAACACTACAGCCTAGAGAGAGAAACATTGCACCAAATATTAGTCTTTGGAAGATCACTGAACATTTATTTAGCATTTATTTAAATTGGGACAAGCTGATATTATTTTAATCTTATATCTGTTATGTAACAGTTAAGATAGGCTAGTGAAATTAATGTGGGAAAAAAAGAAATAGTTTGAACCCCAAGTGAATTTACACAAACTGAGAAAGTCATAAAGTGTCCGGTTGTGCCGCTCTCTCCTTCCTCCTCGAGGTCATTATATAAAACACAAAGGAACATTGAAACATAATAACTAGACAGCTTGAACTAAATCTTCCATAATTTGGTCACATTTATGCACGTTCAACTGAGTTCACGTCAACGGAAGCAACAGAATGGACATTTTATTGATCATCAGCAGTGTTGCTGCTTTGAAAAAGTAACTAAGTTACTTTACAAGTTACTTGATTTTAAAAGTAACTAAGTTACTTGATTTTAAAAGTAACTAAGTTACTTTACAAGTTACTTTTATTAGTTACATTCAGCAGTTGCCGACAACACCCCCGCCACCTCAACATAAAAATGACAACCGGTTTTGCCAACACTCACTTTATTGGAAGTGTATTTTTAACAGGTACATCAAAAATCTATCTCCTGACATTTAAAGTTGAACTTAAAAACTATTTCCTGAAAAAACACATGTTTTTACAAAAAATAAAGACAGTCTTTCTTGACTTAATATAAATACTTGTTTTTATAAAAAATAAAATAGTCTTTCTTGACTTCACTTAACATAAAAACTCGTTTTAATAAAAAATAATAGTCTTTCTTCACTTCACTTAACATAAATACTCGTTTTAATAAAAATATAGACTATAAAATTTCTTGACCTGACATATTTAACTGTTAACATTGTAATGACAAAACTTACTATTTATAATCTAAATTTTTTATGTAACTATTAATTTTTTTTAACATGTTTTATCAACATTGAACCTGTTGTTCACAGCATCAGAGCAGCAAGGAGTGGTTTTACAAAACAAAACAAGTGTATAACACCACATGTAGGCTTATATCATAACTACTTTTGTTACTTTGGCCTAATCTTATGTTGTAATCCCATGTTATGAGTGAAACAGTGGAGTGAGGCGAGTAAACCAGTGGTTGTACCTCATTAACAGAAGCTTCTCAAACCTTTTGTCAGAAAGTCTATTTCTTCTAGGAGTGAGCACCAAACCTCCCAGACTGAAAAGCCGCTCCACAGGAGCACTTGATGGAGTTGGAGTGTTATACTTCAAGAAAATTTTCTTTATGTTTGAAAACTGATGCAGAATCTGAAGGTCATAGGCTGACCTCAGGTAGTCCATGACTTCATTTTCTGTAGAATAGGTCTCCTCTGGCTCTGCCTCAAAAGTGAAAAAGTCCATCTCACCTTGGCTGGCAGATGTGGTGGGCACACTGGCAGGGCTCTGTGCTGTAGGAGCAGTTGTACGGCGGCACTCTGCTATCAGAAGCTCTTTTACTCGCTCCCTCCTACCTGCATCTCTCAGCCATCTGAGTTTGAATTTTGGACAACTGACAGCTGCGAGAAGGGCATCTTTGTCGTCCAGCACACCGCCAAAACGAGTCTGGATAGCCTGAAAAAATATAATATTTATTAATGCCTACAAGACCTACTATTTATTATGTCATTGAGTTACTTACAAATCATGCTTAATGTGGGTTCAATCTTATGGATTTAATTTTGTTTTAGATTACTTCATGACATTTGTATTTTTTTATCTTCTTTTGCAATGATAATGTATATTCTGTTCCTAGTGTGATGCAAGAAATTTTAACTAGCTTAAAGGATGGAACATACCTGCACTATGGCATCTGGAAGGCCTGCAGTCATCCTGGAGAGGGAATCTTTCACATCCATAGTCTTCTGCATCAGAACTTCAAGTGTGGGCAGTAAAGTCCCATAAGGACAGTCACCTTGTAAAATATCAAGTGCTGCAGACAGAGGCTTCATGGCGGTGCAGTACTCATGCAGAAACTGGTACTCTTTGTCTTTAAAGCACTTAACTCCCAACTTGTTGCACAGAGTATTCAGCGCACACATGGGGATTTCTGCAATTCTCTTTACAGCATCAAAAAATGAATTCCACCTAGTGGATGTTGGTACCAGGAGCTTTCTTTTGCTGACTTCCTCCACTGTTTCTGATGCAAGGGTAGATCTACTTGATTTGGTCCAAAGAGCTGTGCATTTTGCTGTGC